CAGGGCTTTATAATGGATAATGTTGATTTATGTTCGCTGGATATGTTGATAGGTAACTGCTTGCTAACACAGTAGCATAATAACTTTGTTTGTTGCTTTTTGGGAGAAATTATGCCTCCTGGTGGGCTGAAATAAATTAAATCATGCATCTGAAAGTCTTAGAACTAATGCAGTGATGAACAATGATGTAAAAGTCTAAAATAAAAATAAAAGAATAAAATATTTAGCAGCCTGACTTGACGAGACAAATGAATGAAATGACCATATGTCAAGGCTTAAGTGCTCTATAACATTTTGTGTTAATTTATTTATACATGGTTAGAAAAGAATGGACAAAATAAATGTGTTGAATCAAAAAGGAAGTGAAACAGTGGTAACAGTTACCATGTTAAAGCTATATTAGGGAAGGTACAGGGTATGTTCCGACTGAATAAATTGAATGTCTCTGCAGATGTTATAATTAAGCAATAGCTCACGACAGGCCGTGGTATATGCTCATTATATCACAGCTAAGGGGCGTGGTTCGGCCAACTGCATGATAAGCAACAGGTTAACAGAGTTTGTGGTTTTTATTTGTTTTACTTTTTACAGGAGAAGCTTTTGATACAACTCAACCCATATACCAGGCGGTGGCTAATATGATCTGCTCAATTGTTTATGGGAGGAGATTTGAATATGATGATGCAGAGTTTACATCACTGGTACATCGAGCAACCAGATATATCCAACTCCTGGGGTCCCCGTCAATACAGGTGCCATTTATGCCTCAGTGTTTATTGTATCTTTGTAACTCTGGCACAACAATTTCCTGTGGGATAAATGAAGTCCTATCTTATCTTATTTCATTTATTATTTTTGTTCAAGCTTAGACATCCAGATTTGAGTTTAATATACATAATACATGAATGTGGGGCAACTGATTCGAAGGTATTTTTTTTTTATTCTTATAAAAAGGTGTTTAACATGTTCCCATGGATCGGTAAATGGATTGCTGACAGAAAGGAACTTCACATGATAACTGCTGAGAACCAGAAACAGACTCAGCAAATGTTTAGTCGTTTGAAAGAGACCCTCAATCCACAGATGTGCAGAGGATTTGTGGACGCCTTTCTGCTCCGAAAGCAAAATCTGGAGGTTGGGAAGCATTTCATTACTTACAATGAACCATAAGTTCATAAACCTGTAATGGCTTTCTTTGCCTTCACCATTCCCAGGAAAAGAGTTGTTTGTGACAATTAATGAAATGCAAGTATTTGAACATGTAATAGCAGTTGTAGAAATCAGCCATTTTTTCTGACTAGTTTGAATTCAAAGCCAACATGTCCAAAAGATGATATGGACAAGCAGTAATATTGTTTTTAATAGACAATTGATTTTACTAGTGGAAATTAATATTAATTATAATTAATATGAAATAAATGGAAATCTGGATAGCAGATAGCTTCCATGATGAAAAAACCTTACCCTATTGCTGCTTTGTACAACTGAATTTCCCCTCGGGATTAATAAAGGTTCATCTTATCTTATCTTACCTTATCTTAGCAAAAAATAAAATGTGACTGATCTGTGAATTTAAAGTAATTAATTAATTAAATTAACTAATAGATTTTATCAAAACCCAGATATCAAGAAATACATTTCAAATATCTGTTATCCAGGTGTAACTAGTGAAACATAAATTATTAATTAGAAATAATTATATGCAAAATATCTGAAATTACTTTAAAGCTGGTGAGATTTGAATTTCTTGAAGTCAAAATTAAAAGTAGTCAAATAAATGTTAACATTGTATGTACGTGTCAGAAATACTAATGGCAATTTGAGCCATATATCAGAAATGATATGATGATGGTAATGTTGGCCAATTACCCAAAAATTGTTTGTTGATATGTTGGACATATGAAAAACGAATATGTTGATGTGAAATGGGAAACTAGATTGGTCAACATTCTTGATTTAACATGTTAAAATGTAAATGTGAATATGTTTTTAAGTGAAAGAGGAAATTACTGACTTTTTCATATCAAAAGTATTTTACAGATATCCTGATAAACATTCTGAGATTTTGAAATGTAATTTCCAATACAGAAAACTACATCAGTACTAGTCAGGCCTTTGATTAAATTATAAAAAGGCAAACTACTACCTCAACAAAGCAACAAATTCCCTCATACAGTATGTAACATGTCTAGGTTTTGTTTGAATAACTGATTATGTTTTTTGGCAGGAATCCGGGATCACAGAGAGTCACTTCCATGATAAAAACCTGATGCATACGGTTCTTAATCTCTTTGCTGCTGGCACTGACACAACAGCATCTACACTGAGATGGGCACTACTATTTATGGCCAAGTATCCAAAAATACAAGGTAAGGAGCTTAAAATCCGATCAAACGTTGCATGCAACAGTCCAAGCAACAAGTGCTTTACCAACACAAAGATCATCTCAATCAAAAATAACATTCAATCTTTTAGACCAGGTCCAGGAAGAGCTGAGCAGGGTGGTAGGAAGTCGTCAAGCCCAGGTAGAGGACAGGAAGAGCCTGCCTTTCACTGATGCCGTCATCCATGAGACACAGAGACTGGGCAACATTGCCCCGATGGCACTTCCTCACAAAACAAGCAAAGACGTAACTTTCCAGGGTCACTTCATTAAGAAGGTCAGAATGTATGAAAAACGTAATTTAAAGAACCCAAGATTACTTGAGAGGATGAATCACATATGATTAATTAAAGCGGAGGACTCTCCTATGAATTAAATGAAACTAGACAGACGGCCTTAGGACTGCCTAAGCTAAAGCAGATGCTAACCTTTAATCAAAGCAAATGCTAACCTTTAATCGATCCCCCTGATTTAAATCATTAGGTAGTAGTTGTAAAATATGATAATAGCCAAATTCAGACTGATTCCTATGGCTACGAAAGATCGCAGAAAGACCTGTTTCATCTTTGTACAAAGTAAAGCCATTCCTGAGAGCAACTTCTATAGGAGCGAACAGTGCCCTTGCTCTAATGGTGTATTCAGTTCTCTTTAGACATCCATTGTTCAACAAGTTCTATCAATAAAATCCGCCCTCTATATATGACAGTATTGGAAATCATACCGTGTTTTGTCCACAGGGGACCACAGTGTTTCCTCTCCTGACATCCGTCCTGTATGATGAGAGTGAGTGGGAACACCCCCGCAGCTTTTATCCTGCTCACTTCTTGGACAAAGATGGGAAGTTCATCAAGCGAGATGCCTTCATGCCTTTTTCTGCAGGTTGGTGAATTTAGCCATCACTTCTTGATGTGCACTGACTTGCAGGCGACATGATCATATTCTCTTTCATTTAATTCTCTTCAAGGTCGCAGGGCTTGTCCTGGAGAGAGTCTGGCCAGGATGGAGCTCTTCATCTTCTTCACCAGCCTCTTGCAACACTTTCGTTTTACTCCTGCTCCAGGAGTTTCGGAGGATGAATTGGATTTGACTCCACGTGTAGGCGTCACCCTCAGCCCTTCACCTCATAAACTGTGTGCTGTTTCCTGCATGTGAGCAGTAGGGCTTGAAAATGCTGCTTAGTCCCACTGTCATGACTTTAAATCAATTTAATTCCAGAGTATTTTCTAATTGTACAACTTGATAGTTAATGTAGTAAAACAGCAGATAATATGTACAACTTCATACATTTCACTATAACAATTTTCACTTCCTCACTATAGACCTGTAAATGCAGATCTGGCAAAGTACAAGGTATTCTCTACATCAACTAGTGTTTCTGGCTATCATGTCATTAAAATGTCAATTGTATTCATGTTAATCTTTGTCTGCATTTCTTTGTAAATCATTGAGAAATTGATTCCACCAAAGTCAAAAACCTCATTGAAGTGTTTAAGAAATGAAGGAGGTGAGTACCTTATTAAAAAAATTCATTAGGCGCCACATTTTGCCAATGTTTAAGGTATTCATTTATTATCCCATTTCCACTTTTTACAAGAGAAGCTTAGAAAATAAACTACGCAGATTTGAATTGTATGGGTTTCATTGTTAATGGGCAAAAAATGTAATATAATGATCTAGAATGTACATAACTGGTAGAGGAGGAAGCAATCAGTTAATACAAAGTATTCATCCTAGAAA